TATCCTCATATACTATTAATTGTTTGCCTCTTTGCCTTAATATATAAATCACTCAAAAACCTCTTTGTTAAGTCCCAATTGGACATCATAAACCCTAAAGCTGTAAAGTTATAGTCATCATACTATAATCAGCATTCTCCTGAAGTTCTGGAAGAGGTGAATTTCCAGGTTGACAATTTGGTGGTGACTGTAAGATACAATCTCTACCAACGTCAGAAAGTCTTTTTAGTTGATCATAATAGACGTCGATCAATATTGAACCGATTGACTTGAAAATTGAAACACAAATTCTTGAGAATCTACCACAACTTTTGTACTAAGCATACCTTAGCAGGAAAACCACTCTGAAACCCGATATTCGACGTCGAAGTACTGACGGCGATTTTGATCGGCAAAGAATTTACAAGAAAGTCCTCTTAGAGAAAACCTTCTGACTATCATTACGCAAACTTCAAATGCTTATAACTCGATAACCACTGGACCATTTTTAGCATTCTAACCTCCTTTAGGACCAGAAGATCCTCCTCTACAACTTTTCTTAAGTGACACATTCTGTTGTCATAGTAATATTTTGAGATATACCCTCATTTTGAAATTCAGAAGTGAAAGCTTAAGTGTTTGCATTGTGACAAACAGCTTTTAAATTAATAGTACAGGCATGTGACTATATATGCGCAGCATATTTATTTAAACAATCAACATGATCTTAAGCATAATTTTTACCCAAACACTTTAGAACATAGGAGATATATAATCCAAACCATACCTGACTATTCTTGCTTAACTTGTTACCCTATACTTGGAAATATCTCAGACAGATTTCTTAGTTTTTGGGATTGGTTTACTCTAGAATTCCCTGCTACTTGCTTTACCTACAATTCTATTGTAGTTTTTAGGAGAATTCTGCAACAAGTAGTTGTTTCAGAAGATTACCTAGAAGCATTGACTATAACCTTCTGTTATAGTTCTGAAGTTAACTTTTATACTCTTATTACCCATATTAGACAAGCACTTATCTTAACAGATAGATTTACTCTTGACCTTCTAACAACCCTATACTATCATAGCGAAACTACTTCTTTATATTCAAACTTATCAGAAGAAAGTCTTTCAGATTTTGATTATAATTTAGACTTACTATTTCAAACTCCTCCTCCTAGTCCTAAATTAAATATGGCAACTATACAGAATGTATATGATTATC